CGCCTAGAAACTCACACCTCAGACCTCAAACCAAGGCAGGCTAAGAGGCCGGTCTCTGAGTAAGACCTTGGAAAAAGCTGCCGTTGGCTAGGATAGATGGCCCCGAGTCCAGTGCCCACCCGCCCGCCCCCTATTCTGCCTCGGCCTCTGGGGGGGCGCTTCGTTGGCGTTGCTTTAGGAAGGGCAGATGCCCCTTTAAGGGGTGGGCGGAATCGCCATCCTTCGAGGGTTCTGTAGCAGTTGATGAAGTAGAAGATGGCCAGGTCGGCTAAAAGGGGGGTCTTCGGCCTCTGCAGAGGGGGGAGGTGGAGCTTTCCTGCTCACATTCCATCTGAAATGGCGGCGGCGGCAGACGGGGCCAGAGTCCTGAAGGCTGCCTTCCAGGTAGAAGAAGCAGAACCCAGAGCCCAGCGTAGGCAAGGAGAGGGTGAGACCGACCGTGCGGGACAAGGCCAGGGGCATCCGGAGGGCAAATTCAGTAACCCTCAAGAGAGAGGCGGCCTGCTTGTTGGCCGGGACCGTTGCAGGATTTCCTGGGTCTCAGATCAAGCCTTCAGCCCTTGCAAGCCCACAAGGCACCATCAAAAGCCTGCCTTCTTCCAGGACGTGCATCCCCAGTGAGGGCCTTTGTCGTTTTCCTTCCAGGCACCCACCGGCACGGATACCATGGTCAAGTCTGGCGTCAGCACCAACATCAGCACCAAGCATCAGTGCATCACTGCTATGAAGGAGTACGAGAGCAAATCCCTCGAGGTCAGTGTGGGCGCTGGGCCTCGGGGTGCCCTAGCGAAGAGGGGAGCGAATCTCTCCTGCAGAGCACCTGAGGGCAGGCCAGGAAGCAACGGGGTGGGATCTAAGCAAGGAGAGAGATCCAGCCTAGAACTGAGGGGGGATTTCCTGACACGGAGAACAATCAACCAGTGGAACGGAAGTTGCCTTCAATGTCAACGCTTGCTAATATTGAATATTCTTGCTTTGACAAAATATGCAGAACTGTCTGGTATTTTTAGAGTTAATTCAGAGGAGAATGAGGGAGGAGAGAAAAGCCTGAGAAAGGGAACAGGAAGAGAACCTTTGCCCTTCAAACTAATTGGAGAATGTAAATCATGACAGCAAAATAAGGGAGGGGAAATGCTAGCAAAATAACTGCTGGGGGGGTGTGGAGATTTCAGATCTTAGCATGATGTCAGGGTTCTGGCTAATGAAACACTTCAAAGAATTTCCAGGCGTTGATTTTCCTAAAAGTCTTTTATTTACAGTATGTTACAAAATGGCATGACGAAGGGGATGCTAAGATCTGAAATCTCCACCCCCCCAGCAGTTATTTTGCTAGCATTTCCCCTCCCTCATTTTGCTGTCATGATTTACGTTCTCCAATTAGTTTGAAGGGCAAAGGTTCCCTTCCTTTCCCTTTCGAGAGCTTTTCCCTCCTCCCTCCTTCTCCTCTGAATTAACTCTAAAAGTACCAGACAGTCCTGCATATTTTGTCAAAGCAAGAATATTCAATATTAGCAGCGTTGACATTCGGAGGTTGTGGGTGCTCCCATCACTGGAGGTTTTTAAGAGGAGATTGGACAGCCATTGGTCTGGAATGGTAGAGAGCCAGGGGCTTGGACTAAATGACCTCCAAGCTCCCTTCCAGCCCTATGACTCTACGATCCACCCTTCTTAAAACGGGGGGGGGGGATTCTGGGAGATCCAGCCTGGAAAATAGGGAGGAATTTCCTGACAGTGACAACAATGAACCAGTGGAACGGAGGTTGTGGGTGCTCCCATCACTGGAGGTTTTTAAGAGGAGATTGGACAGCCATTTGTCTGGAATGTTATAGGCTCTCCTCCCAAGCAGGGGGTTGGACTAGAAGACCTCCAAGCTCCCTTCCAATTCTGGCATTCTCTATTCTGCTTGAATGAAGCCCAGTTGGAGGGATTGGCACAACTCTTCGGTCTCGTTCTAGCTCCGTTGCACCTTTGCCCAGTGTCAGAAGAGCCACCCAGGCTTGGGAGCCCTCCCCTTTGAGAGCAGCATCTCCCTCCCCTTTCCAGGAGCCCCCTCCCCCCCATTCAAAGGCTGCTTCTCCTACTTTTGGAAGGCCAGAGCATGGTGGAATGTGTTCATTCAATGTTTCTCCCTCCAGGAGCTTCGCCTGGAAGACTATCAGGCCAACAGGAAAGGCCCCACCAACCCAGTGGGAGCAGGGGCCACCCCGGGCTTGTTTGGATCCTCCACCGCTACGTCCAGCACAGCCACAGGACTCTTTGGCTCCTCCACCACCAACACGGGCTTTTCCTACGGGGCAAACAAAACGGCGTTTGGAGCCAGTAAGTATCCCTGGGCTGGTCTTGCTCTGGCCAAGCTGGTAAAAAAACGGCTATCGACTCTCGCGGTTTCTGGTCTGCAGAGTTTCCCAACCTGGGCCACTTTAAGACGGGTGGACTTCGTTGCTGGCTGGGGGATTCTGGGAGTCGAAGTCCACCCGTCTTAAAGTAGCTCAGGTTCCCCTACCTCAGAGGTGTCAAACTCAATTTCACTGAGGGCCACATCAGCATTGTAGTTGCCCTTGGGGGCCCTGGTGGGTGCGGCCTACTGGGTGGGTGTGGACGGAGTGGGCGTGGCCTACTGGGTGGGCGTGGCCAGCTCTACATCATTCGCGTCAAGGGTGCCTGTGGGGGCCTGGGCAGGAGTGGGACAGATCTGAGGGTCTCTGGCAGAAGGGGGTGGGACCAGGGCAAGTGCCAAGGCATGGTCCACTGGAGGAGCTTCACTGTTCCTCTCAGGCCATGCTGGCAGGCCTGGATGGTGGCGTGGGCTGCCCGGAGCCCTGGGCAGCAAAGGTCAAATGCCCAGGCTGGCCCTCGAGCACCCGTGGCACCAAGCCCAGCCCCATTTCCCCAAGGGGGTGCCCAGCTGCACTTACCTCCTCCTCAAGACTGCTGCTGTGCTTGCTCTCCTTAGCCAGGTTGTTCATGATGGGTACCGGGGCAAAGTCAGAGGGAGACCGAATGCGTTTCAGCACAGAGGGCCACCACAAAATTGTACATTTGCTCCCGCCAAGGCAGTGGGGGCCGTTCCCTCACTGTTTCCAGGATGGCTTCGCGGGCCACATGACACCACTTCGCGGGCCGCATCCGGCCCCTGGGCCTTGTGTTTGACATGTCTGCCCTACCTGAAGTGGTAATCCTTTTATCGCTGTATCGATGGTGTGTCGTCCCAAACCACCAGATAATTTCATCCAGCAGCTTCAGGCAGAGGGCAGAGCGACCCAGCGGCTTCCGTTTGAAGCACACCCCCTCTGGGTGCTTCGAACTCAGAGCTGGCTCCAGGTGAGAGGAGGGCCAAAGCGAAGGACGTCGTCTCTTGTGTTGCAGGTACCACCGGTTTTGGCACGGGGACCGGAAGTCTCTTCGGCTCGACGCAGCCGACGCCCAGCCTCTTCAACAAACCTTTTGGTCAGCCCACCACCGCCCAGAACACGGGCTTTTCGTTCACCAACACCAGCACCCTCGGGCAGCCCAACACCAACACGATGGTGAGGGGAGGGGGGGAAAGCTCTTCACTGTGGTACACGCCCGTCACATCTTTTGTTGAACTCTGGAAGGGTAGTTCAGACCTTCACGTTGGCACTCAGTCAGGGAACAGCTTGGGGAGACGGATAGAAGAGAATATTTGAGGCTCCCTGAGCTGGGTGGTTTTCTTGCAGACGTTTCATGACCCAACTAGGGAACATCATCAGTGCTAGAGGGGTGGGGGGTTTGCAGAGAAGGAGGAGAGGGAGGAAGAGGAGGACTGTGGGATCCTTGGTACAATCTCAGTTGGGGGTTTTTTTTGCAGACGTTTCATGACCCAACTAGGGAACATCATCAGTGCTAGAAGGGAGGAGGAGGAGGGGGACTGTGGGCTGCTTGGTGCTCTCTGAGCTTGGTTGTTTTCTTGCAGACGTTTCATGACCCAGCTAGGGAACATCATCAGTGCTAAGGTTCCCTAGTTGGGTTATAAAACAATTGCAAGAAAACCACCCAGCTCAGAAAGCACCAACAGCCCACAGTCATTGCCCTTCTTGTCTCCACAATGCCCCTCCCCTCTAGCACGGATGATGTTGCCTAGATGGGTTATGAAATGTCTTTAAGAAAACCGCCCAGCTCAGAGAGCACCAAGGACCCCCCCAGTTTGTCGTCTTCTTCTTCTTCTTCTTCTTCTTCTTCTTCTTCTTCTTCTTCTTCTTCTTCTTCTTCTTCTTCTTCTTCTTCTTCTTCTTCTTCTTCTTCTTCTTCTTCTTCTTCTTCTTCTTCTTCTTCTTCTTCTTCTTCTTCTTCTTCTTCTTCTTCTTCTTCTTCTTCTTCTTCTTCTTCTTCTTCTTCTTCT